CGGGGGGGGGGGGGGGGGCAGCAGGCACCAGAGGAGCTGATGGAGCACGGGGAGGAAACATGGAAGCAGAGGGAAAAGGTAGAGGTTTAAAAATATTTATTAATAACTTGGGTGGCACATTCAAACAAGCCACATAAACTCAGTACTGGTGCACAACACAAAATTATTTTTGCTCATGTAAGGAAACTTAGGCAATGTCTACACTGGCTGTTTCTTGCACAAGAACACCTTGCGCAAGAGTTCTTGTGCAAGAACACATCCACACTGCCATGTGCGAGCTGTGCTTTTGCACAAGAGCCTATGGCAGTGTGGATGCCCTCTTGCCCAAGAAAGTGTCGATGGCCATTTTAGCCTTAGGGCTTTCTTGAGCAAGAAATTCATGTTGCCTGTCTACACTGGCCTCTTGCGCAGAAGAGTTGCACAAGAGGGCTTATTCCTGGGCGGGAGCATCGTAGTTCTTGCGCAAGAAGCCCTGATTTCATACATGAGAATGTCAGTGTACTTGCGCAAGAACACACGGCCAGAGTAGACAGGCAGCAAATTTTTGCACAAGAGCGGCTGCTTTGGTGCAAGATCGTGCTAGTGAAGACACAACCAAGGGGAGGGAGGAAGGCAGGGGCAGGGAATCAGCACTGGCTCAGCATGTCTGCATGGTTTGGGGGAAGGTTCAGGGAAATTGAGCTCAGCTGGGTTGCAGAGTGGGGAGGTCCGGGGAGCTGGGCTGGGCTGTGGGGTGGGGGGGGGGGGGGTGTGGAGCTCAGAGCTCAATTTGGCTGCAGGAGGAGGAAGGTGCCGGAAACCGTGGCTAGACTCAAGGGGAGTGAGGGGCAGGGAATCACCTCTTGGCTCAGCAGTTCAGGAGGTGCCAGGAACCGAGGCTAGACTCAAGGGGAGGGAGGAGCAGGGAATCGGCTCTTGGCTCAGCAGTTTTGTGGGGCTTGGGGGGAGGTGCAGGGAAACGGGGCTCAGCTGTGCTGTAGGGGAGGTATCCAGAGAACCAGTGCAGGGCTCAGCCGGGCTGAGGTGGATGGGGGAGGGCATACAGAACAGACGGGCAGCTCAACTGGGCTGAGAGGGGCTGCATGGAACTGATGCTGCACTCCCTTGGATTGTGGGGGATGGTTTTGGGGGAGGTGCAGGGAACAAGCAGGGGTGGGCAGCTCAGTTGGGTTGCAGGGGATAGAGGTGCAAAGAAGCCTAGTGGGGAAGGGGAGGGGGAAAACCAGGAGCCCTGAAATGACCTCCCGTGGTCCAAAAATTCCTCATCTGGGGCCAGTCAGGTCCAGAGGGTGCCAGATCAGGGAGGTCCAACTCCTACCCAAGTCCCCTACTCGCACCCTCGTAGCCAGACACCCTACCCCAAATCTGCTCCTGCTCCCTCCCCCAGCCAAACACCCTACAATCAGCCTGCTTCTGCACCCTACCTACCACTCAGACCTTGACTCCTTCCGCCTCTCACCTTCTTCCCAGATCCTGCACCACATCCCTATCCCACTCCTTGGCAGCCCTGCCGTCCACCCTAGCACCGCCCTGGCCCCAGCACCTTGCCTCACACCCCAGGACTCAGCAGCACCCTGTTCCTTGTCCCAGCACCCTGCCAGTCACCCTAGTGCCCAGCAGGACCATGTCCCTGACCCCAGCACCCTGCTACCTGAACCAGCATCCTTCCACCTAGCAGCACCCTCTCCCCATCCCCAGCACCCACTAGCACTCTGTCCCCTACACCCACCAGCACATTTGGGACCACATTAGTGAGGCTTGGGGTTTTTTGGAGGAGTGGGTTTTTTGTTTTTGTTTTTTTGCATCTCACTTGTGTGATCCCAACTGACTTTTCTGTGGGTCAGTGACCTTTGACTCAAAACAGGTTCCTCACCCCTCTCATAAATAAAGAAAATGCTAAAACCTTTTGAGTTTGACATAATTTATTTAAAAATGAAACCTGTCCAACAACCCCCCAATTGGGACCAAACCCTCATTTCACTGCAGCATCATAACACTTCTGCACCACCTGACCCCAAATCTGAGCCTATCATACACTGGAACCCCCTATCCTGAGCCTCTTACATCCCCAAACTCCTGCATCCCCACATCTCTAGTCTTCTGCCACAACATTCCTCCACCATCCACACATCACAAATCTATGTCCTGAGCCCATCATACTCACAACCTTCTTGCCCTGAGTCCCTCACATATCCAGCCCAAACTCCTGCACCCTCACATCCACAAGCCCTCACAATGGTGGACTTTTACTAATGGAACTACAATTTCTGGGTTAAAATTAGTATGAACCCTAGAATGAATTGACCTCAGATATGTGAATAAAAGACTGAATAAAATCAGCAACACAATAAGGCACTTTTGAAAATCCAAGACTAAAGGATTTAGAGGCCTAATTCCCACAGAAATCAAGAGTAAGCATGTGTCCAAGGCAACTTTAGAAAACAAAGCCTACAATTTCAGGCAATATCTAACAGGTTAAAAAGGAAATTGGTTTTTAGGCAGCATGAAGGTTTATTAATAAATCTGTAAGCTCCATACTTAATGGCTTTTTCCAATTACATGGTACCTCATATATCAGCAAAGAAAAAAAGATTATCGGTCCTACTTATTTTATTTGCTTATACTCTAGGCACAAATATACCTTTACTTTTTAACAGTAGCATTACATTTGTTAGAATGAGTAGTGCACATTGGAAACAAACAGATTTATTGGTACAATGCAAAATATTTGACTTATTACTAACTGCAGT